TTTCTTCACCTCGTATCAAATAGATTATTTTATCTAACATGCTTGCGATCAAAAATACATATTTATTTGATTTATGCATTTGTATAAAAATTCTTTTTTACCTCATGTATTTAAAAGTCAGCTCAAAATTTTATTTTATTTAATTTTTATTTAATGTTCTTATTCTTAAAAAAATTTTTTTATTGTTTTTGTTACATTGATTTTAAAATCAGGAGTTACATTTTAAATTAATGTTTAGTATCCAAAATCAAACCTAATTTTAGGTTCAATTTTCGGATTTCGAACCTAAATCAGGACCAGCTGAACCGGGAACCGGACATTTCTAAAAAATCGTAGAGTATGGCTTTAAGGCTTCCACTACGTTTTCCTCAGCTCCAGCCAATTAAAATATATAAAAATTTAATCTGGCTAAGTTATAAGAATTAGTTAATTAACTTTGTATAATGATAACTAAATAATAAATTAGTTAAAAAAAGTTTATTTTAATTTTTTTTATTTATTATTTTATTTTATTATATAGTTTTTTTATTATTATTTTATTTATTATTTATTTTATTTAATTTATTATTTTATTTTGCATATTTTTTTTTAACTATATAATTATTTAATTTTCTATTTAATAATATAAATGCTATTAACATATTATACCATACTTAAATTATAATTTAAAATTTTTCCTACATATTAATTTTGAAATACAAAAAGAACTGTAAAAATTTTGCATCTAAAAACTAAGTTTTCACAATTTTTGTTATCGATTTTCAAGCATTATTTAAGTCGACAGACAAGTACTGTATATCGAGATTAAAATCTTGCAAGAAAACATTATTTGTTAAGACAAAAAGCTTGTTCATTGGTAATATTTTTAGATAGGGTTTTTGAAATCTGTGTTAAGATATGCACTAGTCGAAATAAAGCCTAACGGGCAAATATCATAACTTTTTTAGTCCCGATATGACACTGATTTAATGGCTCGAATTGTGTCATTTCCAGGTTCATATCGGAGCTATTGGTTAAAATATCAGAAACCTGATAGTTTTTATAATTTTACTGTATATCAGTTCCGATATGAACCTAGAAATGACACGATTCTCAGCGCCATATCAGGACTAAAAAAGCTTTATTTCGACCAGTGATGTTGATCTCTAAACCTAAAAAATGTGAATAATCAAAAATGGGATTACAGAAAATCAGTATAATAATATGGATGACCAAATAGTATGGTAAAGGATGTAAAATGCTGTACTTATTTTAAAATTATACCATATTAATATACTAGAACAACAATTTCTAAACCTAATAATACTGTATATGGCACTGGTACAGATTTTATAATAAGGCATTTTACATCTCATACCGTACGAACTGATCGCCCATACCATGTAAATTACGATATCATAATTCGAAACATAAGCCGTTGTTCGAAATAAGTGGGCGAAATCGACAAATCTAAAAAAAAGACCAACAGATGAATAGATTACAGAGCCCAATCAAATCTGTTAAAATTGGACGCTAAAACCCTTATTAATTAAAGAATCATTTATATTAATATGTATTGCTGTATGTCTTGATGTTTTGAAAAAATATTGAAAAATGAAGGTAATAAATTTTCATTATACTGATTTTATCAGTTAAGGCCGAATTTGAACCTGAAATGTTATGGGATTGAAAAACCGAAAATTATTAGTTTCGTAGACTAGTCTATATCATTATTAGATGCAACACAAATCACGTTGACCTTAACTGACCAATCAGATTCGGTTTATTCCGAACAGACATTAAACCTTTAATAGTATAGATGTATTTACGTATTAATTTGTTAAATCAAAAGCTATGAATTATAGTTTAGACGTAGCATTGAAATATTTATATAGATTTTTGTATATGGGTCTTTGCCTTGAAAATGACCTTACGGGACTATGTAGATTTTATTAAAATTTCTAGCCATCTAATAATCCAATTCAAATAAATTTTTTTTATTTTGCAGAACTCGCTAGACTCTACAAAGTTTATTTGAATTGGATTTCTGGATAACTAGAAATTTTAATTTTTATTCATAAAATCTACTTGGTCCCGTAAGGCCATTTCCAAGGCAAAGGCCCCATATGGGATCTTTGCTAAGAAAATCACTCTTCGGGATTTTCCGATCGGGCTAATTCGAAAAAGCTTAGACCAGAATGCCGGTTCTTATTCATATGTAAAACATCTTTTTACTTTACTGATTCGAAGGTTATATAATAAACTATCGAATAAATAAAGCAAAGGTGATTTACATATTAATAGGAACTGGCATCCTGGTCTAAGCTTTTCCGAATTAACCCGATCGGAAAATCCCGAAGAGTGATTTTCTAGCAAAGATCCCATATGCCAACTCTTATAAGTAATAGTAAATCAAACATTACGGGATAAGTAAACCTGTCACGCCATGTTGTAAGTGGAAACGGAATATAAGTAGATTCAGAATTTAAATTTATCAGGGTTACATATGACAAACACTATTCTGAAATACTAGAACTCCGAATCCACTTGAATTCTGTTTTTTATTTGCAACACATACATCAAAAAATTTACGGCACACTTTAACTATTATGGCGCATGTCAAATGTTACGGCACACGTCAAATGTCGGCTTTTTGACATATCGACATATCTTTGAGTTACGTCTAATTGACGTTAAGATGTCTGCATCTATAGTTTGCATTTATATTATAATGTGACGGTGTTTATGCCAGGGGTTCCTGATTGGTGACTAGTTTACAATCGGTAAAACAACCTTATTGATAATTTAGTCCCCATATATTGATTAAATAGTTTACAATCGGTAAAGACCCTATTGAATAGTTAGTACCTTATTGGTACCCTATTGATATCATATTGGTGTCCTGATTGATACCTTATTGACCTCTTTTGGAGCCAAAATCTGGCAGCAATAGGAGGTTCCCTATTGAAGAGAGACTAATTATATCTCTAAATGAAAACAGTAAAAATTCTACTAATACTAAGGGTTTAACTCATGTAATTTAAACTATACTATAAATAGTAATTTGTATAACTATACGTACTAGAAACTAAAAATACACTAATATAACAATATAAAATTAAACAAATTTATAAATAGTTATAGTATTATAAAATTGTCAAAACTTAATAACTATTGCAATGATATGCAGTATGTTTTTGAGTTAGTTTGTATTGAAATTAACAGTTGTAATTTCTATTATAATTTACTACAGTCAGACCTCTCTAAATGCAATGCAACGGGACCATATGTAAAACTTTAGCCAATCGTGCATTTAAAGAGATATATTGCATTTAGGGAGGTAAACATCTATAGGCGTAATATTAGTTGGGCCCAAGAGAAGACGTGTATTTAAGAAGGCTTTTCATAGGACGTGCACTTAGAGGGATTGCATTTAGGGGTCTGACTGTATAAAAAAAATTTTTTTACAAAACTTACCAACTATTGTATGACAAAAATAAGTGGTTGAGATTGAATTAGCTTGGATTGGAATTAGCAATGTGATTTACACCCAATAATTAGTTGAGTCGTGAATTCTTCCATGTTTTACCATAAAAAATTTTGTTTCAAAGCTTATCGGCACACAATATTTGAATTGGTATTACATTAATGAATTTGAATTGTGAAGATATTGTCACGTTTTTGTATGACCAATTAAATGGTTAAAGTATACACTAACTTCATTGATTAGTAGATCAATATAAATACGATCGCTAAAAACATTGTGATCTGGATGGCAAAAAATATAACTGAAAAAATTATTGAAAATTGAAAATTGAAAAATCTAAAATCGGCAATCTAAATGATGTTATTGAAGTTAAAAAGGGTACCGCATTGGCGCGTAATAACGCGCAGATGCGCGTTATTTTGGGACGCGCATGCGCGGTAATTCAAATCATTTTGACAAATTTAGGTTACAAGAGGAAGTCCTACTTTTATTAATGAACTTAGCCTGAAAAATTCGAACAAAATATGTAATATAGTACATTTAAGGGGACGCGTTATTTTGAGTCAAAAAAGCAATTTTCAAAAAAATGGGAGTTTTTAAATAACGCCCATGTGCGTTATTACGCACCAATACGGTAACATAAAAGATAAATAGAGATGAAAACGCTAGTAAATATGATGTATATATAGTTGTTATCCAAAGTTAGAAGAGACAATTTATTTATATACAGATATCATTTTTATCTTAAAAACTGTGTGAAATTAGATGTTAACACTGAAAATAAACTTGCCTGTAAAATAATAAGATATTTATAAAGTAATTGTCTTGCATCAAACCCTAATATGTTTGCAAACTTTCAGACTGAACCCAGAAAACTCAGATTAATTCTGAAAGTTTGGTATCGGACCCAAATCAACCTGAGTTTTCAGCCGAAGCGGAGTAACTATTAAATGACTGTCCAGGAGGATCGTGCGTCGATTGACAAGGATGCTAGCTTAGTTTTAAATTATATTACAGTATTTAATTCTCAGTTATTAGTCCTGTATGTGTGTAAGTGGAAATGGAATCATAATAGGTTCAGAATCCACCTAGATTAGACCGGAATAATTATACTAAAATCCAACCCTAACCTTAAAAAATTCCGAATAAACTTAAACTCTGTTCCCATTTATGATATATACATTGCTTATTAATATATATTAAGTAAGTAGATTCTCTAGTCTAATATCCGCTGCGATCCGGATAATATTCTATGAATAAGAAACAATATTGATGACATGTTTTAATTAGAATTGTTAATGATACCTTGGGCCATTTGGCATTAGGGAAAATTTTCAGAGTTTTATAGTAAATTATTGATTTAAAAGTTTTTTTTTTATTATATTAAGACAATATTTTAATAGCCCATAATATTGATATTAAAATTGCTCGCAATTAATTAGAGTTCTTAAATGTATATGCAATTAACCGCCCTTTGTACAATTATTTTCTAAAATTTTTCTAATAATCATATAAAAATAGTATGTTTTATCTATCACAACTTTAGATGAAGATGAACAGCGCTCTCACCCGGTACACCTTTGTTAAGAATATATAAATAACCAGGACCTGGGGCAATAATATTTCCATTTGGTGGCATGACCACATTCATAGTATATCCATTATCTTTAGAGGTAACATTTTGAACAATACAAACTACATATCGTTGAGACATATGCGTAGAATGTGTGATGAACCCATAATGCACTAATGCAGCTGTGAATTTTGGTTTATTGTCAGAAATGTCAACGCTGACTTCTACAGGGTTGTCATAATTTACTTCTATGGGACCTTGGTTTATTTTGCTAGAGCCGGCCACAGATTTTATGGTGGCTCGTGCTTGGTTCAATGAAAGATATGGTGGACTGAAAAGTTCAATTCTATATCTATATATTACAAAATAATAAAGATGTTAAAATATGTCAAAATAAATGTTTGTATATAAAATGGTACACTTACTCAGTGGGAAATTTGACGCCTTTGAGAACAACAGTTGCTTGTGGACTACTACCAGCGATGAAAACCCTACCATCTGGTATTAAGGTAGCTACAGAATGATAAAGTCTAGGTATCTGTTTCAACAAATATGAATATTAAAATCGAGATAAAAAAAAAAGACCGAATGTATATATATTATTAAAAAAGGCCTACCGTTGAAGGATCGAGTTTTTTGAATCTTTTTCCCAAAGGTTTTTGATCATCATATAATACTGGAGTCAAAACTGGATTATCAGCTTTTAAGTGTTTATTATTACTAGAACCTTAAAAAAGCATTATACAATATTAAGTATTAATGGTCCAAATGTTTCAATAAGTAAATAAAGAGAGAGATAACTTACTATAACCGGCAGTTCCATTACCCGCACCATTTAAGAATAAAGTTTTCCCATCAGCCAAAATCACACAATCGGGCATGACTCTCGGTAATCCGCCGAAGTTATCAAGTTCCCAATCAGCCTTATCAAGATCAGATAAGTCAATTTTACCACAAGAATTTTCAGCTCCGTTTTTTGGGTCCATTTTTTCGTTACCACCACAAATTAATATTTGAGGTTTATAATTGTTCTCGGGTCGTAACGGTAACATTACCGAGGTACCAGTTAGAGGATAACTACGAGAAGATCCTTTAAGACTAGGAAGTCTTTTTACAATTTTATTTTTATTCCAATCAAAGATCATACCATCTTTGTTGGCAAAAACGAATAGAAGAGTTTGATTCTTAGGACCAGGCATTAGATGTACCATTGGGTAGAGATTGAATGGCAAAGTTTCAACTAAGAATGGGAAAGGTATAGATTTTGGATCGTCTCTTGGGAAAAATTCGTATGTTGGATTATTAGTTGCTTCAGAATTGACACTTGTAGATTTAATGGATCCACCAAGGATGATTAGCCTTCCATCCGAAAGTCTGAAGTACATATATAAAAAAAAAAAGAGTGTAAAGATATTATCATATTAATATATTAACATATTAGATATTATATTTATCGTGTTATGTATTATTATAAGAATTGTTTACAAAATTTGCAAAATACTAATTAGAAAATTATCGTGCATACGTTGTGGAAGTAGAATACCATCGATGAGATGACATGCCATTTAAATTTTCACTCCATTCACATTTACCATCTTGACAAGGATCAATAAATCGAAGGCTTGTGAATCCAGACTTAAATTTATCATCCTATATAATAATAAGATATGAGCAAAAAAAAAAAAAAAAAAAAAATCGTAATAAAAAAATACATGTATAATAATGTAATTACCGGAACGGGTTCCGCACCACCGGTACTGACCAAAGTACCATTACCAAGGAACCCTCCCGAGGAACAAAAAGTGTTTGAATGTAAAGGTAAGAAACGCTTTGAACCATCAGTTAAATCATATTCGAGTGAGCTGACCGGACTACCGTCTTTTAAGAATATTGGATTATTTTGAACTGTTGAAAATATTAATATTATTATTATTAAATAAGTAAAAAAAAAACAATATGGTTATTACGCTTTTTTTTTTATAAATTACCTTTGTCTATAATGATAATTTTGGTTGGAGAAGTAACTACAATATGCATGGCAGCTATTCCACTATTTCTGTAATTAAAGATTGATAATAACAGAATTAATGGTTTATTTTGAAAGATCAACATAATATCAATAAATATCGATATTATAAATGCTTACTCTTTAAGAATTTTATAATTCGAGGCTATTTAAAAAAATTCATAAAGATTAATAAAAAAAAAATAATAAAAATAAGATCAAGGATTCAAGGATTCTTAGAACACTTACACTTTTTTTTTGGTGCGCTTGAAACATTTGGGAATAAAACAGTCAATAAAAACAATATTGAAACTGTGGGAATTGAGAAACGTGATGGTTTCATTATTTTTACAACTTTTCAAATATATTTCTTGAAGGAAAAAATGTGATCAAAAAACTTTTTATTTTTTTAATTGATCTTTTTATCAAAAAGAAATTCGATGATAAAGAAAGGAAGGAAAATGAGAATTAAGTGTTAAAGGAAAGGAACGGTAAAAATTTTAAATTCACCGTTTATTTCTATAGAGGAAGAGAACACTTAACACAGTGTTAATTTCGCTTAAAAACTTTGAATAATAAAACAAATCCATTTGTGTAGGAAATCCAATTATTTATAATAAATCTATCACGATTTCAGATAATAATAATAAGATGAACTATTTTTTTTTTTTTTTTTGATGAAACGCATTTATAGTGAGATCAGAGATATATTATGTTATTAATTACACAATGTATTATTGCTATCGCTATGAAACTACACGATCTCTATAAGGCTAATTTCAATATTTATTTATTAAAACAGTAAAAAGGAAATCAAGAAAATTCATCTCAATAAAATAGGACAAAGGATTGTCAGAAGTTACTATTTAATTTTAAAACATCCCGATATGTATTAACGTTCTAAATATATTGACTAGTACGTACAATACGTAATTATCCAATCGGGATTCTTTTTCATCCTTAACCCTGAAAAGAAAAGAATAATGCCTTCGCTAATCGATGTTAAGTTGAATGATTGACTCTTAATCTATTGATTTATAAATTTGGCATCATATGAGATTATCATATTACATTTTCAATTTTATTGGCGTAATAAAAATATAACTTAAGATTCGCGTTCGATTTGATTATTTGGAAATTTAAAAGCTCTGCCACCTCATCATATTGGTATATTTGTGTATTCCCCTTATAAATTGTTAAAGGTATTATGACAATGTCATCTTTTATTATTAGTCGATGATAATTCTGGAAAATTTGTAGCTTTAATAAATTTATCTCCTAATGTATATATGAATTTGCATGTATAAAAACAGGAAGATCTACTGAAAGGTGATCTAGTAACTTCTTTATTAGTATTATAATATATATAATGATTTTCCATTGGTCCAAAAGTAGAGAATTATCTGATGCTGTGATATTTAGCATATATTTCAGGTTAATGGTCCAATAAATAATAGACTTATTAGCATCACTAGAACTTTTTAGAAAGTTTCACCGAAAGACTGAAATTTCAATGAAAGCAAAAATTGACAACACTGTGTAGACCAATAGTTTTTTCTGTCTGTCCAGAGAATAAATTAACGGTCTTATTATTAATTTCCGTAGAAAATTAACCCTATTTTTAGATATTAGTCGATTCCTTAAATATATAACCTTAAAATTATACCACAGAACTAGCATAATATTAATATTATAGCGTGTTGATTTAAATATTAAATATTAGTATTCATCCGTAAAAAGTAGTCTCCCTACTTAAATAATCCGTTAAAATAAAATCAACACTATTATAAAATTTATGAATGTGTATTGTCACGGGCTAAAAGGTAGATCGACAAATAGGCGCAGCAAACTCATGACTTCAAGCAGATCAATCATCGGAATTCCAGATCGACTAGTGCATGAGGCTTACCGGCTAAATAACGGAAAGATAACCTACGTGAAGAATTCCAAGAAGAACAAATGAAGATCTAAAGAGAAGAAAACAAGAATCAAGAATAATTAGAAATAGTATTAATAGAAAATGTTGTAAAGGCAAAGCCTTCATTATTATGATCATGTTGTACTTATCTTTGTAAGCCCCTTTAGTTATAGTGATCCTCCCTTGATCTTTCGTGATGAAAGATCTGATTTATCTAATTTATCACAAAGCCTCTTGAGATCGTTAGGATAGTAAAGGTTATAAAAACTCTGTATTTTCCCTCTTGTGAAGAATATCTTATCCTACGGGATTCTGATATTCCTAACATATAACATTGAATAAATCACCTTGATAAATATCATTTTAAAACTAAACTATTGCTAAATCACCATCGTCACGCCTCTGGCGAGTTGCCTTATCACCTAAAACTA